TCCAGATTGTATTATCTAATATTCGCTCGAACAATTTGTTGATCATAGTGACATTCAGAGAAATGTCCTTTACTAGTAGAAATTTTCCATGTCAGTCAATAATAAAGATCGTTGATGACAAAGTAAGATCAGTTTTAAGATTATATAATGTTTACTTTCAATACTAAAGATTTGTTTCAATGAAATTAACATTTTCATAGCTTTCATCTAGTTTTTCAGATACTTATTGAAGTTTTCTGCCCTACATACGCAGACATTGATTCAAGAAGTTTTTGTCGAAGATCATTGAAATGGACGCCTTCTTCCAATTGCTGGTATCTTTTATAAATGGACGAAGATCTGACTTGATTGTATATTGATTAAGTGTATTTTCTAGATCATCAAATCCTCTATTATTGATATTTATTTCTGCGCCTAGTAAATACCCGTGATCATTAAAGCGATTCATATAAAAAAGACAACATGATCTGTCTGATGACTTGATGAATAAGAAAAAAAATTCAATGAGCTAGTTACCAACTACGATGTTAAGTCAATAAAAAAAAAAAAAAGAAGAAGTAGTATATTTTTGAAACAAGCGAACGCAATACAACGCTTGAAGAATGCTACTTCATTATAATTATGAAGAGTTTTTACAACAGTAAAAGTATTAAAGTAGAATTGAATCAATTCTATTAAATCAAAATCTTTACTATTCAACTTACGCAATCGTATAATATTTTACACTAAAAGTTCCAATAAAGCGACAATTACCAATAGACAGTGGTGAACATTAATCTCTTCGCTGTTTTATGTGAATGAAAAATATTCTATTGAGTCTGATCGATGATAGTACTTTTTATTCCGACAGAAAATGCAAGTATCAAAATATAAAAGTTAGATAAACGTTGTTTCTGATTTTCTAAATCAACATTGTTCCAATTAGCTTCTTTTTTTTTGCTTTTCATTTTCCATTATTCGAAATAAATCTATTCATCATTATATTTCACTGACACATCACCATATTCTTATCATTCAACTTCAGTTACCATACAATAAACTATCTTCATTCAACATACACAGTTATATCAACATTGCCAATATGCAAGACCTAAAAGGAGAATGTGTATGTGCACATTCAATAAAATATTGTGTCTGGTATCTAGAACAGCTTGTGTATAGTATCAAATAGATGGGGAGGAGGGGAGAGAGAGAGAGAGAGAGAAGACGAGCGAAATAGAGAAGAAAGTGTATGTGTGCGTGATGCGATGGAATTACCTTTATATCCATATGATTGTGAAGAACATATGAAAATAGAGAATTAGACGAATAAATCAAAACTCGGTCACCGTATAGTATTCACTCTATCTAGCTATAAGCACTATACTAGACAGCAGACAAATTTACACATGATTACAATAGTGCGACAAATTGTATCATTTAAGAACCGATAAAAAACCCAGAAGACAAATTCTAATTTTTCTTCTTGACATCTTTTTTTTCTTTCATACGGTTAGTAATATTTTTTTTTTCACATTAAAATTACTTTTATATGTCAAAGAAGAGAGAGAAAAAAAGACGTCAATTTATATGATTGGTCATTGGATGTCGACAGATCGCAAATAAAAAATCAAAGACACATTTTTCTTCTTCTTCTTCTCTCTCTCGATTGCTTCTTCTTATACCATTTTTTTTTTTGTATCGAAGAAGAAAAATATCAAATATCATCAACAATATACAAAACTTAATTATGTTTGCAATGGATGATGTTCGGTCAAAGATGATTTCCAGGTAAACTTTCACTATAAAGAATATTTTCAGAATTCAAGGTCCATATAAAAAAAAAAGAAACAAAATAAATTTCTCTTAGTTTACTAAAGACAAAAAGAAGATATGACCTTGATATTGGACATCAACTATTGTTATGTGTCCAATATTAAGTTCAATAATGCCCATAGTTGTGCATGCAGGTTCAATAGAAAAATTATATTTCTTATAGTTATACCGATATAACACATGAATCTCGATCAGAATTAACAGATCCATTATCAATATTACTTGAAGCTCGATTTGAACCATGTCAAGTATGTGGTGAACAATCATCTGGTCTTCATTGTGGAGCAATTACTTGTGAAGCATGCAAAGTAAGATTACATATATGAATATGAATATGAGTTATTTTAATTGTTGATTTAGAAATTTTTTTTACGATCAATTAATGGTGAAGATCAAAAATATAAATGTGTTAGAAATAAAGATTGTATTATAACAAGAAATAATCGAACACAATGTCAATATTGTCGATTTCAAAAATGTAAAATTATTGGCATGACTGTTAAAGGTTTTTATTATATTAAATAGTTAAAAATTTTAAATTATTTTCTTGATTATATAGAAGGTACAGAAATACAACAAACACCACGAGTAGCTGATATATTTGCTCAAATTTCTTGTTATGTTTGTCAAGCACCATCAAGTGGTATCCATTTTGGTATGAATTAAGTTGAATTGTTCTTTTTTTTTTTATAAATCTATATGTTTATATATATATATATAGGTGCTATTACTTGCGAAGGATGTAAAGTAAGTTAAAAATAAAAGGAAACATATGTATTAGATTTTCATTGAAAATAATTTCTTAGGGTTTTTTTCGAAGAAGTATTAAAGAAAGAGCACCAAGTCGTTATAAATGTATGGATAATGGTACATGTGAAATTAACGTTGCAACAAGAAATGCTTGTCGTTATTGTCGATTTCAACGATGTATTAAAGTAGGCATGTCTGTTGAAGGTAAGTTTAATTATATGTTTAGTTAGAAATTGATAAAAATAATTTAGGAAGTCGAATTGGACGTCAAAGTAATTTATTTAAACATCATATGCGTAAGTTAATATTTAGAATTTTTGTATTAGTTGAATTAAAATTGATTTTGTGAAACATGATCTAAAATGAGATGTTGGATGAAATTTATGATTGTTTTTCCGTGTATTTAAATGCATTGGTAGTGTATTAGAATCAAAATTTTGTGCTCTTGCAAAATATATGCTTAGAATTTTATTGTGACTTTTTATGAATGAATTACAAGTAAATCTTGAAAGGGCTCAAAAAAAATTTCTGAAAAAGCGAAATCTTATTTTTGTGAAGTCTACACTAAATATATAGTACTTGAGGATGATCTCTACTCTACAACATGACGCGAGAATGGAGAGTTTTGATGGATCTGCTCGAAAAAAGACACATTGCGACAGAGAGTTATTTTGGGGTGAAAAGGTGGAAATCAAAAAGATAGCTACGTTTCGTGCGATAGACTTTATAAGTATGTCTCAAACAAGTTTCATTTGAGGTCTTTTCAAAATTCACTTATAGTTCCATAGTCAAAAGCCACAGAAAAATTCTATGAATATATTTTGAAAGAGTACAAAATTCTCATTCTAATACACTATCAATGTATTTAAATACGCGAAAAATAAAAATCAAATATTTTATCTAGAAATTTTCGGTCCATTCCTTATATATGAACCAATCTTCGTATGATTGGGAAGAGTAGCAACATTGTATTTCATATTTTAATCTTGTATAGGTATGATGCTTCAAAGAAATGGTCAAATACCAAATGCAACAATGCTTCATCAAATGGTTCATTCAACATCATCATCTTCACGAAATAAAGCATCAAATAGAAAACGAACAATAAGTGAATCGAGTAGTTCTGAAAGTGAATGTAAGTTTAGTTTCAAAAATTCTATTGCAAGATGTAATGAGAAAAATCTATTTCATTTTCTTTGAGTTAATAATATAAAACAGTCGTTCGATTATTTTCTATTTAAATGTCATGTATATAAAAAGAAACAGAGTTGTTCCAAGCTTGAGTTGGGAAAGAGAGAGGCGACTTCTCACGTTACGAACATCTCTAATAATTTTTTTTTTTTCGACATTCATCTTCTATCCTAGTAACACAATCTACATCAACTATGATTGATTTCGAAGATCAATTAGATCATCAAAGTAAAGAATTAATTTCCAATGTTCACAAAGCTTTTAAAGAAACACTTGATGTATGACAAAAAAAACTTTTTTTTCTATTCAAATCAAAAAAAAAATTTTTTTTTTTTTGTTATGTTTTGATAGAATTTACCAATATGTCAAGATACTGGTAATCCTTGGTTATCATCTATGAATCAATTTAAAAATTATGCTAATCGTTCTGTAAAATTTGCAACACGTATACCTGGTTTTATGAATTTTCATAATGTTAATGATCAAATACAATTAATAAAATCTTCTATACATAGTATTATTATATTATGTTTACAACGTTTAAATAATTCTTTTATATGGAATTATTTTAATATTATTGATCAAAAATTATATGAACAATTTCAACAAATATTTCCATTTATTGAATGTATACGTAATGATGGTGAAAAAATTCAAACATATATTTATTCATTAAAATTAGATGAAAAAGAATTTTCATTATTACTTTCATTACTTATTATATCAACAAGTAATATTCATCTAAATGATTTTTTATTAATTGATTCAACACAAACAGAATTAACATGTGCATTATGTGATTATATGGATAGTAAACGTGGTACGAAAAGTCGAGATTTTTATACATTAATGTTATTATTACCATCATTAAGAAAATTAAATGCAATCATACAAGATCATATTAGAAATGAAGTACCAAAAAATATTGAATTTCCAGCATTTTTTTCAAGAGTTTATCTTAATGAACAAGATATTGTAAGTTTTATTAATTGATAATTAATTTAAATGTTTCTTTTTATTTGTGTTAAGAATTATCAACAAAATTATGATGGAACAATTGAAAATCAACAAACAGAATTTTAGTACATTCCATCGAACAGTAATCTTTAATCAACCGGTTTTTTTTTGTTCGTTTATAACGGTGAAATTTAATGTTGTATTTGTGTGTGTGTGTGTGTGTGTGTGTGTTTATTTTAAACTCAAATGTCTTTCTTTATTAAAACAAAAAAAAACAATTCTTATAATTAAATATTGCTAATAGAAGTACTTATTTGATTTATTAATGAATAATCTGTACCACATTTTTTTAACCATTGAGTATCATTTATAGGTGGATAATATAAATAACAAATTGGATTAACTGGTGGAGTAGAATTATATAAAGATGGAGCTTTAAGTAATGAACCAAGTGTACCAATAAGACTAACAGAGACAAAAAGGATGAGAAAAAAACGATCGAGTATTAAAGCTATAAAACGCCATTCTTCGACGATCTAAATAAACAAGTTAAGATGTGAATGAAGTACGATCGGACAACTTGAACTAGGCAAAACCAGTTGTACAATCTGATTACCGACTTCCTCCTTTCAAATCCTTACTATTTTATGGCGTTCTTCAATCGGAAATAGTACTAGAAATTCATGGATCCAAAAGTTGGAATTATTAACCTAAGAATCTTTAAGTATTCAAAAATTTCAGATATGACCAGCAGATCTTAGATACTTTTCTTTCGAGTAAAACAACTTATTGGTATCGCAGTGTCTTATAATCTAGCTTACAGAAAAGGACGAGACACGGAAAAAAAAACTAAATCTGATCCATTTTGATTAGAATGATTCGATTGTTAATCATAAAAATGAAATATCTGGAATCACAAAACAAAAAACTGAGTCGGCCTATATATTTTTCAAAACATTTTGACAATTTTCATTTTCGTCGAAAATTCGACCATGCCCCCCCCCCCCCCCGCACCGGTATGTGTCAAAAAATTAATTCAATTAGAGCACCGTTTTTATCATTTCACGATCTATTGTGTGAAGTTTTATCTAAGTTT